TCTTTCCCTGGGGCAGAAATGAGGGCAGCTAGAACAAGCAACTCATTCCCTGCCAGGAGGACAGGCAGAGATTGTTAACAAGCCTAAAAAGTAGACAGACATTGCCATGGAAGAGCAAAAAGCACCAGAGATCTCCCCACCATGCCCTTTTTGGCCTAGGTCAGGTACTCCTCAGAGCAGACTGTTTTAAAAATAGCCTTAAGTGTAGGCACAGGTTGGAACACCTGGGTTCCACACGTGGCTCCGCCATGAACTACTTGAGCTCACACAAACTACATGTGCCTGAGTTTTCCACGCCCATTGCTTAAATGGGGTCTGTGCTTGGAAGGCCCCACTGTGAAGATCCTCCTAGGGAAGCAGAAATGGCAAGGCAGCAGAGAAGGCCCCTTTCCTGGAGGCAGTCACCTGCCAGATCCAATAGGCCATGGACACAAGAACCCCTACTTTTTCTATTAGGGATATGAAAAAGGCCAAGAATGATGAGAAATCTGGTGCCTAGAGCTCACATCATTCACAGGTTTCGAGAGCACTCTAGAATAAAGCGTTCCACCTTTGGGAGGAAGGCCAGGTAGTATTCCCTCCTGTACAAGACAAGTTGCTACAGAGGCAGAGAAGCAAATTTCTAGAGAATATTCTGGAACCTTTGAAAGCTCCACTGAGTGTTTCTAGGCCCTCAGAGGTCTGGTGCTATGTGAGGTAGCTTCACAAGTGACTTCTGTGCCAGCCCCCGGGCCCAGGTTCCAAACCCTAAGCCTGCTCCCACGCTCTGGGTGAAATACGAGCCTTAACATCAAGTTTGCTGATAATAGCATTAAGAGACATGCAGAACTTTAAGGCACTATTTATTGATACTATTAGGCTGAATGTGGTTATTCACTGACAGTCTGTTCTGGATGGTCTGCAGCCTCCTAGACAAGTTACTGAGCAATTAAGCCACATCACAGCTGTGCAAAGCTCCGAATGCTCACAGACAGCTGGGTACATAACAGAGACCATCACCATCCTCCCCACCTTGCCCCCAGACAGCTGTATTGTAGGTATCAGGACTGCCTGGGATCCCCAGAAGTGGAGCTAGCAGCATCTGGAGTGAAGATCCTCACTGAGCCACCACCCTTAAAAGCAACAACAAATCATTTCAAACTTATTAAGAACCTGGAGAAAGTCCCTGGTTTATAAGACAACACATTCCATCCCCAGCAAATATTTTTTCTTTAAGCCAAGTCTTCCCTCCTCACCCCCGCCCCTCCATTTTGCCCTTTCACACGGGGTTTACAGTCCACAACATACAATAAAAGAGAAATGCCTCAGTAGCAGAATAGGCAGAAGGAATGGGTAAATGCTTTGTTGGGGTCCAGCAAGTGACTATCCTTCCAGGAAAGGTTTCCTTCAGGTCTCCATTAGTAAGTGGGTCAAGAGAAGTCTTCCAAGTCAATGGCAGGCAGTGGACTCCTCCAGTAGGCAAAGTGGCTATATTCTGGCCAAGACAAAGCAAAGCTCCCTTTCTGACCTACAGGGGGGAAGATCAGTTCTACCAGCTCAGTCAGTCGTTCATACCTGTGAGGGAAGGGATCAACATTCAGGATTAGAGAAAATCTTTCCTCTTCGGCCTTCATTCACTGACCCAGGCACACAAAACATGCTAGCTTAAAATGGTGTTTAGGACAATCCTTACTCTGGGGTCAATGGATGTCCAAGTTAGCTTCTTCTTAATGTCTTGAGCACTTTGATAGTTTTTGCAGAGCACACAGCATTTCTTGCCCATACCAGGCCCCACTCATGTGTGGGTGCTAACTCCACTGCTATCACAAAGGCCCCAGAGAGAACAGGCAATCCGTGGCCTCACTCTGCAGGACACAACCCTAGTCATGGAGGCCTTTTTTTCCTTGAGGAAAACTCTTCCCAGGAAGAGAGCAAGATAACACTGATAGATAACACTGGGAATCTCTCAAAAAAGGGGAGGGGGTTCAACTCATTCCTGAACCTGCCTGTACAGCTGGAGCTTCCCAAAGATATTCTTTCAAGCAGGTACACATTAGCATGCCCCCAAGGAAAGCATGAGCTAACCCTTTTCTCACCAGGGGTCACAGAGGGCCTCTGCACCCTGTCATAGATTCATAGATGCTAGGGAATCTATACATAGACAGGCTAGGGAATCTAATCATAGACATTCACTGGCATGAACTTCTTCACCTATTAGCTAGAGGACTTTGCAATCTTCCTCACAGTCCATGCTGGGCATGAAGAGCAAGGTTTGGTACAGAGAAGAGAGGGAGATGGTGGAAAAGACATCCCAGGATAAGAAGAACAGGCAGGCTTACGTGGACTTATGGTTCTTGGTGAGCTCCTGGATCAGCTCCCCCTTGGGATTCACAGTGAATATACGAGACTCTGGCAGCCCCACTTGCTTGTAGGCATAGACATCCTGCCCAAGAAAGGCCAGACAAGACAGATTAGAGCTACAGAAGCACTTGTCCCCCAGGAGGTCATTCCCACTAGCAACCAGGAGGGTGCCACTCACGTTAACTCTGTTCCCAAAGGCGGCATGAAAGGGCTGCTGTGCAGAGCCAAAAAGGTTCCGAATGTCTGTCAAGCAGGCAATTTTGAACACCTCTGGCTTTTTCTCAATCACCTCCCTGCAACATAAAACATAAGAGTATTATGGCAAGGCTGGTCTATGAGCCAGAACATCTTACAAAGCTGTTTCAAAGCTTCTGAGGGAAGGTTCAAAGACAGTAAGAGCACCTTACACTGCTGGAGCAACAGTTATGGCAAAGAAGAAGTCTTAGCCACCCTTTCCACCTATCTAGAAGTCTCTAGAATATTAAATGTGGAAGATCCCACCAAGGAAGGAGGAACCCCATCAAGTCCTCCCACCTCTTGGGCCAGGCCACCAAATGCCTGGAGACAGAAAGTGCTCACTGCATCCAGGGTGCTACAGAGGGAGGGGGCTCTTGCAGAACAAGTGGCAATTTTACATAGAATTGCAATGCCAGGCACCATCAGATGAGAGAATACAAGAGTGAAGGGGACAGGCATCCAGGCTTCCTAGGTTTCCAAGTCAGGACCATCTTAGGTATTTTTCTTTGCTATTAAAGGCCTTAGCCGGTAGGATAGAAGAGGTAAACAAATCTCCAGGCTTAACCCAATACAGGGCAGGATAACAGCAGATAACCTAACAGCCTATGCCTACAGCGAGGCCAATTCCAGGGAACCAGTATCTGGGCTTCAGTACCTCAGCAAGAAGGCATTAGAAAGTCTGTAATACCTGCCACACATGTACTGGACTGCTGGCTAATATCCCAGATGCTGGGTATTAAGTTTTGGCAGCAGGGTTGGTTTGTGCCTGGGATGGGTGGCAGGCAGGAGGGAGGATATGCCCATAGGATTTATTAAAGCAAAGAAGGGCAAGCACATGGTGATCACACACCACACGGTGGAGAAGTCTGTATGGACCTCTGCACCTCTCTGGTCTGTCACATCATTGCAGGGGGTCTGCCAGTGTCCTCAGGCTCATGTCCTGGAAAAGCCAACCTCCCCATAGAAAACAGAGCCCAGGAGGAGCCATCCCAATGGAGAGAGGCAGAAGCAAGCACAAGCACAGCTGTTCAGAGGCAGCTGTCCTGTGGTGTGTTACCTGTGAAGAGCTGAGAAGAGGCTGCTGGGGGCCAGCAGGATGGGGCCCTTTGGGAGGGCACAGCCCTGGTCGTTGACCCATTTCAGGTACCCTTTGGTGATATGCGCCATGCCAATGGCCCTGGCTGAACAGTAGAGGAACTTATAGCCATTCCTAGAACACAGCAGGCAGCAAGAATCAGATGCCTGTCTCCTTTCCATGTGAGATCCTATTCCTTTAAGCCCCTTGCCAGAATTGAGTAGGGGAGGGAATTTGGGACCTGTACACTGAGGTCATCCAACCCACCACTCCCCCTTCAGCACTGCAGCACCCCAGCAAAGCTGCTCTTCAGTGCTCTGCAAACCTGGAGAGGAGAGTGCACAAGCCATTCATCACAAAGCACCTGGGCCCAGGCCCCACAGGAAGAAGCTGTTAGTAAGCTCTCCCCAGACTGTACTCATAAAAAAGCCACCATGCCATTAGAATCATAGAAAATTAGGGTTGGAAGGGACCTCAGGAGGGCATCTAATCCAACCCCCTGCTCAAAGCAGGACCATCCCCAACCAGATCATCCCAGGCAAGGCTTTGTCTAGATGGGTCTTAAAAACCTCCAAGGATGAGGAGTCCACAACTTCTCTGGGTAACCTGTTCCAGTGCTTTACTACCCTCCCTGCGAGAAAGTTTTTTCTAATATCTAACCTAAACTTCCCTTGCTGCAACTTGAGGCCGTTGCTCCTTGTCCTGTCATCTGCCATCACTGAGAAAAGTCCAACTCCATCCTCTTTGAAACCACCCTTCAGGTTGTTAAAGGCTGCTAAATCCCTCTGTCTTCTCTTCTCTAGGCTAAATAAGTCCAATTCCCTCAGCCTCTCCTCAGAAGTCATGTGTCCCAGCCCCCTATCTATTTTTGTTGCTCTCTGCTGGACTCTCTACAACTTGTCCACAACCTTTCTGAAGTGGGAGGCCCAAAACAGTACTCCAGATGTGACCTCACCAGTGCAGAATAGAAGGGAATAATCACTTCCCTCGATCTGCTGGCAACACTCCTACTAATGTAGCCCAGTAGGCTTTTAGCCTTCTCTACAATAAGGGCACACTGTTGCTTCATCTTCAGCTTATTGTCCACTGTAACCCACAGGTCCTTTTCTGCAGAAAAGGATCATTTGATCATGATCATTCAGCAGGGTCTTCTCCAGCTAGCAGCAAACTGCTTTAGCAGACCTGCAGGATGCTTCCACCATAGCATACCATAATGCTTCCACCAACTTACTATACTGCTTCCTACCTCCTACCCAATTCATTCACTCCTTTTGGGAGAAATCCAACCTGGAAGACTTCTAGGAGACAGAAGAAGGGTCTCCATATGTCCCCCTGCAATTCTGTTCGATATATTACACAAAGCAATACCCAAAGGGGATTAGGAGCACAGGGTGGGCAGCAGATAACATGAACAGAGCAGTAAGCAGTCAGTGATCATGATCAAATTCCTACCACACCCAGCACAGCAGAGCTTGGCACAAGTGCTGAAAGAACCCAAAAGGTAGCCTCAAGAGGAGGCTTTGTTGTTGCTTTGAATGACAAAGGTGAACCTACAGCATGAGAGATTTCATCATCTTCTAAGAAGGTTTACATCAGGCACTGAGCTCATGCGTACACAGCACTTCTACCAGGCAGAGCAGGCACAGAGTGCTGACAAAGGCAGTGAAGCCAGGCTATTACAGAATAAAAGGCACTAAACATCCAAGATCCACACAGAAGGCAAGAGATACAGGGTACAAACTCTCCTGTACGGAAAAATGATTCAGCTGTGGATCCCAACAGCCTCCACTGAATGAAACATGCAAGTGAAAAAGGGCTCACCCCTTTTCCAGCAGTCCTGAGCCAGGACAAAAGAACTCTGTCTCCTCCTTGTGCTTTGCTCACTAAATGAGGAAGCATTCTCAAGTCACCCAGATGCATCAGAGCATCAAACAGGTCAAATCATGTACACACAGTGCCCCTTAGTGGTCATATCACACATGGGAATCCTAGCATTTGAAAACCAGGGTCATTTAGACACACAACCCCCTCCACCACCACCACCCACCCACCCTGCAGAGGGGCAGAATAGCAGCTAGAGTCAGCTTCTTCCTTCCTAATGAATGAAACCCCAATTACTTTTGTAGCTGTTAACCCCACAGTGCTAACAGCAGAGATGGAGTTCAGTCATAAAGCTGCACCAGGGGCCCTTGTACCTTCTCTCAGGACATCTTTGTACCCCAAGCTCAGCAAAATCAGCACAAAAAGCATGAAGAGGCCACCAGGGAGCTGAAAAGCTCCTTAAACTACTCTGGCTTTATCTGTCATCACCATCCCTAAGCCTACTGCTAGGTGGGTAGGGAGGACAAGACAGCTCTCCTCCACACCAGCAGCACTGGAGAGAGGAAAGTTTCAACATAATCATACAAGAGACAAGAGGGAAGCCAAGCCAGGCCCCTTCCCTATGGGAAGAAGTCCCCAACCATGGGCTCCCAATACTCTGCTCCATCCCCACAGGGCAGAAGAAGGATACCCGAATAGAGCTCCTATTTATCCAATACCTACAAATGGATTTTGTGATAGAGTTTGGTAATCCCATGGTGAGTCCAGTCTTTTCCCAGATGTGGCAAAATGTGACCCAGAGCATCAGACCTACAAGGACAAAGGCTAGTTAGGCCAAGCAAACCAACAGAGATTCAGAACACAGGGCTCAGAGTTGTGGTAAATCACCACAACCACTTGAACAAGCCTTTCAATGGTGCATTTGCCTTGACGGAGGACACCACAGAGAAGGGGAGAAAGAGCAGCCCCTTACTTGGTGATGGTCCCATCAATATCCGAGATCACCACCTTGTCATCCCATTTCCACAAGTAGATGGTGGCCTCACAGCGACATGTGCCCTGGTATTGGGTGGTGATGCTAAACATCACCTCGTTGGGGCCATCCCGCAGATTCAGCCTCTTCTACATACAGAGAAGAGAAACACATTAGCATTCACATAGCAACACTGCTTCCAGGAGAGCTTCAGGAGTAACATGCAAGGCTGCACTTTTACCCTGGCCAGCTATATTCCCATAGAAATACAAGAGAAAGGGACATATATGGGCATGTACATGCAAAATTACACAGCTTCCACACCTACTGAAATACATCCCCTCCCTGGTTTAACAGTACTCACTAAGAAGCCCTATGAAATAACAGCTTTGAACTGTAACCAGTTGAAACCAGGATCCATTTCAGGGAACAAATAAGGAATTATTAACATTGCAATTTGGTCAAAACATCCAGGTTAAAGACACCCATCCTTGCTGAAAAGGTAATGGGGTCCTTTCCTCCACCTCAACAATCGGTACCTCTGCTTCACAACTCAGTCAAGAAATGGTACTTCCTGTATCCCAAGAGACTGTTAATTCATAGCTGGCTCAAAAGGAAAAGCTGCCGTCTCTCTTGAGTCTCCAAGGAAGACATACACAACAGGGGCTCTCATCCAACTAATGACAAAACTTAATCCTGTTTAGCTTGAGATCCAAAGAGACTATAGGCCTAGACCAGGAGTATCAAGCTCATCAGGCTTATGGGCCAGATGAGTAATGCAGGGTCAGTTCAGTGTAGGCACTGCATATAGCTTGTACACCAGATCTGTCCCATGTATTGTGTGTAGCATGTAGGGCCATTCCAGGGTGCTGCAAATGCTGGCATGTGAGTCCAGTCTGAGATCCATAGGCAGACTGTCGATCCACAGGCCAGCTGATAGGGCTCTGTAGGCTGACACCCCTGGCCTAGACCAAGATGCCCATGCTTGGATGCCTCAAGGGCCTAAATATTTTTGCTCCAGTCAAGATCATCACTTCAAGAATGATCTCAACCTAGAGACAGCTCTGGTAAAAAGAACTGTATTTCAGTCTCAGATAGCAAGAGAGTCATCTTCTGAATCTATTCAAAAAGTAAAAAGAAACAAAAAACGTACAATCTGATCTGAAGACAGTCTCAGAGATTTCTTATAGGTGGGAAGATATTTCTGTGCTGTGGCATCTGTTATCAAAACAGTCCCTGGGGATGCCGGTTCTTCGTCACTGGATGAAGGCTCCTCAGTCTGTCTACACATGCATGGAAGCAGAGAGAACAAATACTGCTTTATGGCAGCAGAGACAGATGGTACCAGTAAGCAGGCATGGACAACTTTGTTCAAGCAGATGGGATCACCATGATGACCCTGACTGGATGCGGCACAGGGACAAGGATCTGCAATTTCAAATGGATGGTGTCATGATGCTAATGGAAAGCCAAGTGCCCCACCCCCTGTTACTTACCACACCCCAGCCTTCTTCCCTTCCAAGGGGGAGGAATGGATACCCACCAGTCCCACTCACAGGGTTAAACTTGGATGGAATAATTCATTTAAAGAGATAAAATGGCTCATAATAAGGCCCAAAAAGGAGCCATGCCTGCCTCCACTACCAGCCAGTCAAATAACGCTTACCTCTGTGGAGTGGAGCCCTGCTGCAGCGCTTCTGTACTGGCATGTTCTGCACTGGGTTCATGCTGTGGACAAAGAGGTTCATCCTTAGCTCCATTAGGACAAATCCTTCTGGACACTCAGAGGGCAGGAGCATAGGCTACCATGCTTTTCTGTCTGTCAGAGTGGTACTGTACAGCTCCTTACCACAAGACGGGAAGAGAAGCACCCTATGAAAACCACTAGGCCCTATTTTAGTTGTGCTGGGGGGGGGGGGGGGGGGGGGGGTGGGGTGTGTACCACG